AATATTTATGAATTCTTCATTGGGAGGACGCAAATTCTCGATGATCTCGCGACTGCTATTTCTCAGTCGCGATCCCTAGCCGGAGAAAAACTTGATGATATAAACCTTGAGTCCATTGTTAGTATCACCTATCAGGTCCAGGCGGCATTTCGCGTCAGACCAGTCACTCGCTGCTCAAGTAGTCTGCCTGGTCACACAGGTGCAATATTAGTTGCTCTTTTTTCACCGGACGCAAGGTCTGCTAATTATTTGCGCTTCATTGTTCATCGTATTTGTCCTTCTATTAATTACTTTTCAACATTGTACTTCAGGATCTTGGCAACAGGTTCTGGTGATGCAAGCGTACGTTTCTGGGATTTAACGACAGAACTTGCTTCGGCCACATGCTCTGAGGCGCATCGTGCCCCAGTTTTATGCCTTGCCTGGTCACCAGATTCCATTGTGTTGGCATCTGGTTGTCAAGGCGGTGCTATTTGCTTGTGGAAAGAAGATAACAATAGTTGGAAACTTTTGCATAACCGATCTCTTGAGCGGCCATCTTTGTCAAAATCGCCACTCGCTTCCAAAAGCAGATGGATTCGATCTATTGCTTGGCGCCCAATTCACATGTAAAGCTAAGACTATTAGACGTTATAGATCTTTCGTTGATATCATTATCAAAATAATGCTTATTTTAGAGATGCTGAATGTCGTATGCTCGCGGTTGCATACCAAGAATCCTCTATTGTGATTTGGGATGCACTTTCAGGACAGCCCAAGCTCACTTTAACAGGTCACCAGAAGCCTGTAACCTTTCTTCGTTGGGGCGGAAGCGATCTTATTTACTCAGCAAGCCAAGACACGACAATAAGAGTTTGGCGCCCTGAAGATGGTGTATTATGTCGGATATTGAATTTGCATGGTCATTGGGTAAATTGTCTCGCACTTAGCACTGATTACGTTCTTCGCACGGGACCATTTGACCCCGCAAAAGCTGTGCTCGTTAAACTTCCTCCAACAATTGATTCAACAAGTAGTGGGCGTAAGCTTTCATTTTAACTGTTACTGTTAACTTATAAATGAGTTTCGTAGTTATTCCTCTATTTATGCAGGTGAAAAACTGAAAGAGCGCGCCAAAGTCCTCTACGAGAGACTTATGGTAAGTTCTGACTTATTTTTAATCATAAACTATTTTAACTAAAAAGCTAATACTTGGTAGGGAAATAATTCAGAATCAGTCTTAATACTCTAAGAATACGGTGTTACAAGTGTGTTAGTATTTATTTAATTTTGCTTCCACAATTGTGTAAGTCTCATCGTCGCTAAGTTTTGTACATTTCTCAATAATATGTGTTCAATTAAGTGAACAATATCATGTTTGAAGTATATCTACTGCGTTATTTCGTGAAATGTAGGAGTGCATCATCCTAGTATTGAACTCGTCAATATTTTATTCTTGTATGCAGCTGCTAGCATTCCAAATGTCTCATCGTTACTCCCGTAGCAATCTCTAATTAAGGACTAATGGTCCCATTAGGAGTAACTTTCAGTCCTCGGTGTGCTTAAATTTCCCGTTGCCCGCCCTCCGAACCTGACATATGATCATTCTGAAAAGTTGATTGTTTCATCAGAATATTCAGAAGCTCGTAATTATCTACACCTATTCAACTATCAGTTAGTCGCATCTCGTGACATGTTTATATCTCTCGAATCACTATAGCCTTGATAAAAGAATAATCCGGGGCTAGTCGCTGCATTTCTTTCTCATTGGACGTTTTTTTCCTTATTTCAGTGCGCCAACGTAATTCTGTCAATTGACATCCCTTGTTCGTTCATTCCTTCTACGATGCGCTTTTTCACATTTTCCTACTAGTTTGTAATTTATTGAATTCCATACAACTTTTCATTGGTCCTCTAATCTGAAGGTAGATTTAAATCCCTTGGTCTCAATGGGTGCCCGATATTTTGTTGAATTTATAAACATTTATTTATTAGAAATTTAGTAATAATCACCCCAATTTTAATTGCGTTCATCTCCATCATGTATCAACATCCTGGTTTATCTTTCTCCCATTGGAAGCAGCTATGCGAATCTTTTTCGCGTTGTGTTCAAACAATGGTAAATAATCCGGACCTCGAAAGATATTCTTGATCTGTCCAAAAGATATTACTTTCTTCGGATTTTTATCCCTTCTATATTCATAAATAGTTTTTTATTAAGATAACGCTTGCGAGTCATTGCACGCTTGTATTGTGGTGCAATGCTTGGCCTAATTTATTTAAGCCTATATTTCCACTTAATAAAGGTGCTAGAACAGTGGAACA